TATATATATATATATATATATATATATATATATATATATACATGGTAAATATATATGGAAAATATATATAATTCCAGTGAAAGATTTATGTTATCCGGTAATATTACCAAATAGCACAGTGTGTATGTGTGTGTGTATGTGTGAGTACGTCTTGATATTATCCTGGATGTACTCAGGACGTGTCTTATAACACATCCTGACGCATTCAGGATGATTCTGGCTGACGTTTCGCGCTCTGCTGAAATATTATTTCACGATTCGTGATAAATCCAAAGAACGTACTTTTTGTCAATTTAATTCGCATGTTCCCAGACAGCACAAGAACTTCTGAGAACATTCCAGAGATATTCTGAGGATATTGGGACGTTCTCAGAACGTACTCAGGACGTTCCCTGGATATCTGTGCTGTTAGAGTAACCAGAATTTGCGATTCGCAGAAAGCGAGATAATACAACGGCCGCTTTGGTCGAGCAGTATTATTTCACGATATAGAGTATACGTACGTGCGACTGAAAAGATCTCTGTGCAAGTTCACGAGGTACTCTCTCTCTCGTCTTTTCCGCTGAATTTACCGCGATGAAATCTATCGGACGCAGACGCCTAGAGGCCGCGACAAGTACAAACGCGCCAAGCGCGCGCGCGCGTTTATAACCGACAAAAATCACAGCCGGTTTCTAGCCTATGGCAGATGGCAAACGTTACCTCTTCTCGTGCATCTCTTTTCGCACCCGTGCGCCGTCTCGCGGCTATTATTCGCGTCGTCCCTCGTCATCCTCCTCATCCTCGTCGTCGTCGTCCTCGCCGACGTCCTAATCGAGAGGCCAGAGAAGCTGGAAGCGTAACAGACGTGTAACCGGCTATGGAACGGAGCCATCGCGGAAGTATGTGAGGATCATGAGCGAAGTTTGCCGTCCGGTTCGCTTCCGCCTATTCTCGCTCGCGCGGCTAATTTCATTCCGTTCGCCGCGCACGTACGCGGCGATTATGACGCTGCCTGGCGCCATCTGTCGTCGCCGTTAAACGACTCGAGCGAGCAGGCGGCCGAGTGCGTTCGTGATTGATCGTGGATTATGATTTGCCCGAGTTGACGTTCCGCAACGAGAGATGATATGAAACGGAACGACGGCGGTAACGAGACATAAGCGCGTCTGGCGCGTCTCCGTTACAGGCTTCCTTCGTCATTCGCATTTTATCGTTCTCGAGAGGAAAGAACAGAGTAAAACGGCGATCTCTCCACCGAGTTGTTTGAGCGAAAAATCCTTTTGGATCTGATTGCTCACAGAGCAGATGAGCGAGTTGATGTGTGATATTCGTTAGGGAATACATTGAAAGCTTAAGCCCGTATTAATGAATGTTAGACATTTTTTTTACTCAGACCGGAATTAGGCGTGTATCAATAGTCGTTCTTTGAAACTTGCATCTCAGGTGAGATATTTACATATTAAGTTAGAGATAAATGCGACTTTTTCGCTGAATCGCGATTACAAAAATAATGCCGCATGTATTGTATGAGTCAAATAAAAAGTTCAAATTCAATTCTAAATTCAAATTGAATATTTCACTCAAAATAAGTTTTAAGTAACGTTTATTTTAATATGATATTTTAATATAATATTTTAATATAGGCCTTAAAGTTTCCTGTTTAGAATATATTCTTGTCTATGCGAATAAACAGTTACGTTACGTACTACTATGTTTTCATGAGAATAACAATCGATCAGTACGACCGACTTATGTCTGGTTCCATTGACATCGATTAAATATTAATCTAAGCTTATCTGAACATCTGAGTTTGAATTTAAGTTAAGATTTAATCGATGTTGGCGGAGTCAAACATTAAGCGCGTTTAATAAAGCATTATAATATGACTGAACTCAATTCAACTTAGTCTTACGATATAACCTCTTCACCTCGAACACTTCGAGAAGCCTTAATCAGTTCCGACACACCTCATTTGTACGCGGGCGATTGTTACACGTTTCTGACGTTTTACATACAAATGTCGTTTTATCGACACGCGGTCGCTAATAAGATTGAAACGCGCTCATCCGAACGATCCCATGATTCATTCGCCGCGATATTACGAACGCGTTCTTTGTAACGGGCAATTGAAAGCACAGATTAGACGGTCATGTTTAATGCTAAATATGGGATGCGAAAGGATGCGACTTACGGTCTTGCGGAGCCGCTTCAAAAGTCGGAGTTGTAACAACAACGCCGATGACGACGCGGCGAGAGAGAATCGAGGGCCCAGACATACCTCGGCTGATAGATAAGAATCCCCGTGAAACAGCCGTGAACTTTGCACCGTGAGAGGGGCTGCCTTTGCTTAACGAGCCGCGCCGGAGTTCCCGCGCTTCGAGACAATGAAGCGTCCGCGCATCCCTGCCCCCACCTCGTCCTTTTCCGCCTCAAGCGCCGTATTCATAATACAGTGAGAAGGGAAGTCACGTGATATCGCGATTTGTTATTGTGCTTAATCCGTCGCCGTTGTGGAAAGTTCAGGGTTGACTTTTTATTATCTTATTTGTGGTGTGTTAACGCAGGTTAGACAAGAGATTCGAGCGAATTGCATAATCAAATTGCTCGAACAATTTTGCTGTAATAAATGAATAAATAAATAAATAAATATATATATATACATATATATATATATATATATATAGAGAGAGAGAGAAGTACACAACAGATACAACCCACAGAAGCAGACACAGCACAGAAGTTTCAAAAAGCTTTCAGAAAGGTTTTAGAAACATTGAACTTTTCTGAGATCTTCCTGAAATCTCTGAAAGCTTTTTGAAATTTCTGTGCTGTGTGGGAAATATATAGTAAACTTTCGCAAAAATTATGATATCACATGGTTTAAGAAATATTTTGCAGTTTGTGTCTCCAGAGTTTAAACATATTTTTTAATATAAAATTTCTTTATTTCTTACAATGCTAAACGAATATAAATCAAGGTCAACTGTATAAATGTTTGATAAAATTTTTCAAGTTATACTACATCAATATTTTGAAAAAATATTGTATATAAATAACATTTATATAAGTTTAAAAAGTGTAATTGACCTAATGTCAAGTCATACTGTTTAAAAGTATAATGGTTCTCTGACTTTCTGTTGAGTCGTTAAACTTGAGAATAAAAGAAATTTCTAACTGATCATTGTATTGTAATACTGAAAAATAAAAAGGTCTAACTGTTCTTAAGTCATAAAATCTGAAAACAAAAATACGTCTGACATATCGTTGAATAGTACTACTTGCTCGAATTGGTTTTTATTTAAGTCAGTGGCGCCTAATATCGGAGACTGGAATAACAGCAGTTTGCTTAACGCGTCAAGTAGCCTATCTGGCGCCATCTAGCGGTTTTTTACAAAACTTGAATGCACGGAGTGCAGATTTAAGTATCTGCTAAGTGGTTTTTTTATTAAAATAAGATGGGTTAGGTTTCGAGCAATATTGTGAAAATAGTGCGTAAAGCAGTTCATGGAAGAGTAATCTGTTATGATCAGGAATTCTACATAACAAGTAATTCTCATAACAAGAAAGAGGTAAGTAATTCATCATCGCAAATAATTGCAAAACAAATAGACAAACGTAGCATATATTTAGTATAGGCGATTTTTGGCGATCTTTGGTACATGTACCAAAGTATAAGAACGTTTTCGCGTGTTTGGTACTATATGGTAGAGGCGTGGTTTACCGTTTTGGTATAACTTTGATTTGTACCATGCTGTACCTTGCTCGAGAGCAGGGTAGTTTTCCAAAGTCTCTGGTACGTAGCAAATGCGCGCCAAATATAAAATAAATAGCTGTATCCAGCAAGAAATAAACCATCGATTTGACATCGATTCGGTGTAGTTAAGACTTTTTCGCTGTCGAAACAACGTCAATTCGATGGTTTATCTTTCATTGAATAAGCAACGTGTTTTATACGCCAATTTATTTTGCACTTAGAGGTTAAGTAGTGATCAGTGATGATTAAAATAGTGAACTATAGAATACTATACGATTAGTATAACATTTCTTTATATTTAACATTTCTTTATATTTAAAACAAATTACGTTCTATTTATAAAATATTGTTAATTGTATAATTTGTTTTAAATCGAATTGGACTGATCAATATTTGCTACATGCATGTTATGATATCAAGTATTTAATAATGATATTAACATAATAATTATTTGTGACATTCAATACTTCTGAAAAAATATAATTATGGAAAAATATATTGTTTGGAAAATGTATATTATTTATTACTTACTTTTTGCATTTCTCCTTGACGTATTATTAAATTCAATAACTGTTGAAACGTTATACGTTTCATTCTAAAAGTCATAAAAAAGTCATTTTCAGTATATAAATTAATCCATATTTCGGAGTATAATCCAGGACGAGTATGTTGTTTTCTTTGCAAGTAATAGATGTCGTTTTTTCTTATTTACATTTTGTATATGGAAGAACTGCCTATATATTTCCACGAGAGATAAATCTTCATCTTCATCATCATATATTTCATTCATACAGTTAAGTAAAAATGTTTTTAAACTCATGTTTGTTACTTTGAAATTTATGTGTAATAATGGGTCTGATAGGGTTACACTTTAACTGTTTTGAAGTCGCGCGTAAACAGAAAAGAACCAGTCTATTTTAGCATTAGTAGTGGTACATGATAGTGGTACATATACCAAAATAAGCTCCGCCCCTACTAATATCAACTGTGGTACATGTACCAAAGGATCGCCAAAAATCGCCTTATATGAAAGTCGTTCATTGATTGCTTACAAATAGCAAAATATAGCGTTTTTATATAAATTCTTTTAAACTTTTACATAATGTTATCTACTTTCAGCACAAAATATCCTATAAATATTTAATATGAAATACGAATATTCTTCCTAACAGCACAGATGTCCAAAAGAATGCAAAGTACGTCCTGAGGATATCCTGAGGACGTAGAAACGTCCTCAGAATATCCATGGGACGTCTCCAGGACGCCTTATGCTGTTTGGGCTTTTGCTAAGAAACAAAATAAATTCCTGAAAAGTAGATTTCAAGTATTTAAAGTATAAAAGACATATATGGAACGGAGGGATGATAAATTAAGATAGAATTAATTACAAAATACCGATATAAATTTTACTATAAATTTTTCTCTATGTGCAGCACTGAATACTTCCACTATAATAGATTACCACAGAGTGTTGAGAATCACTGAATTCGCTTAAACTTTGTCTTTCACAAAGATCATGAAGATAGCTTATCTTATACAGCACAGAACATTGAAAAAACGTTGATGAGACGTTGCAACGTTGCAACGTTGAAGATAGAAGTGCGGATGTTTTTTCTACATAGAATATATGTTGATTTTTCTACATTGATTACAAGATATTGCTGCAATGTTGAATATATATTGAAAAAAAGTAGAATTTTTTGCAACAATATTTGAGGAGTATTGAAAATTATATTATTGACAATATTAAGGAAAAATTTGTTATTATATAATAATATTAATAAAATAAATTATTACTAAATTTTATTATATTATATATATACAGGGTGTTCGGAAAGTACCGGGACGCCCAAATATCAGGGGGGTTGGTACCCCTTATGTCAAAAGATAGTCCTTCTGATCTAATTCTCAAGATCAAGGTCATTGGAGGTTGTTCCGTTTATTTTCATTTCTTCGTAAAAATGCTAATGCCGGCGATCCTCTAACTTTGAAGCATTATAACTTGAAAAGTACTTCATGAAAAAATATTTTATTATAGCGTTTTGGAAAGCTCTCGAGATGTGCTATAAGAATATGCAATGAAAAATGGGGTGTTCCATTTAAAAAAATTAATGTGACCTTGACCTGACCTTCGCTACGCAACCCAAGGTCAAACTGATGTGATCAGTAAATACATCTTTTTAAACGCCACAACTTTTGTCTGAAACATTTTTTTGTAAAACTTATATTTTTCTTGATATTCGGGCGTCCCGGTACTTTCCGAACACCCTGTATATATATATATATATATATAAAATACATATTATATTACAATATACTATAATCATATATATTTTTCTTATTATTTATATATAAAATTCAAATGTATTTAAGCAATTTTGCATAAACCCTGAATATTTTTTTATTTTATAATATTCTCTATTATAGAGTCTGACGCAAACTGTATCGATAACAAAAAAATGCATAAAAAACATTAAACTGAAGGAAGGAATGGTCGAAGTCATTTTGCAAATAACTACATAAACTTTAGAGATATTAAATAAAATAGATAGACGAGTCAACGCGTGCATTTGCTACGTTATAATATACTGTAAATATACATTTTATAAGCATAAATTGTAAGAACATCGTTGGAGTCATTGGAATCACCGCGTACCGCTCGATCGTCAGGTTAAGGTCGATTCACACTATACGACACAGCCGTCAACAGTACCGATAACGATACGACCAACACGTACCGGCATCGATACGACAAAACTTAAAAACTCGCGTTTTAATGAAAATATCTACACTAACCGACACTGACCTGCATGTTCCGTCAACGGAACGTACCTACACCGACCGACATTGAGTGCTTTCCAGTTGCAATATCCCTAGACACTTTCATGCACATGACGACACAAATTGCATTCTAATTGTCGTAATCGTCGACATAACACTACACACCCGTACTCAGTTCGAGGGCTACTAGTCGCCGGTGTAAACTAGTGTTTTCTAGTGACAATTAAAGTTAATAAACATGATGGCTTGAGAAGAAGTTGGCATTTGCGACGTGAAGTGTATAAGGTTGCTTTCCAACAAGAGACACAAATCGACACAAGTATCATTCTATCTTTGTTACCCACTAAATGTGGAACAAAGATAGAATGATGTTTGTATCGACTTATGTCTCTTGTTGGAAAGCAACCAATATCTTTTTTACTGAAGATAGAAAAAGTATTGACAACAAAATACCAAGCATTGGCATAATGTTGAAAAATAATCCTAATCCTATTCGACATACACATTAGTACACACTTTGTTCCAATCGAGTCGTACATAACGTTGCACTTTGTGCATTTCTATGTACGTATGTGTCAAGATGTGTTAAACAATTGAAAAGCACCCATTCTCGTGAAGGATGTTTTGACGGTGCGTGTCGGTATGTGTCGGTGCTGTGTGCCAGCCTGAATCAGTAAGCGGTAGAAAATGGACGCAGCACAGTGGATGCTTTCCAATTACAATATCCTTAGACATTTTTATGCACACGGCGACACAAGTTGCATTCCAATTGTCCAATTGTCCCAGTTGTAATCGTCAACACAACACTACACATCCGTACTCAGCTCGAAGACTACTAGTCGGCTGTACAAATTAGTGTTTTCTAGTGAAAATTAAAGTTAATAAGCGTAGCGGTTTGAAAAAAACTGGCATTTGCGACGTGAAGTGGATAATATCTTTTTTATTATTTAGATTTTATTATTTATTATTAAAAAATACCAAAATATAAGCATAGTTGAAAAATAATCTTAACCCTACCCGATATACATACACATTTGTTCCAATTGAATCGCGCACAACGTTACACTTTGTACATTTCTGTGTACATATGTGTCAAGATGTGTTAAGCAATTGGAAAACACCCAGTTTGTCTTTCTGTCGGTGAAATTGCCTCACAAAACGATGTATTTTGTTTTTGTAGCACAGGTTCAATTAATTTTAACAAATCATAAAATTTATATTGCGGCATTCTAAAATATTGATAAAACTTGTCGTCATATTTTAGTAAATCTTTGAACAATGTTCAATGTTCTCCTTCAAGCTTTTTCTTTTTTAATATTGGATGTATCCAATTTCGATTTCTTTTTTTTTACTTTTTTTAGTTCGGCTTCCTCTTCGTCTAAAAGTAAGGCTGTAAGAGGCAATATATGCTAGATGTCGCTGGATGATCTATCCATCTGCTAAATGTCAACTGATGAACAGTTACGGAAGCAGTCTGAACATATGCATTAATTTGTCGTGTCGATGCCGGTACGTGTCATTGCCGGTACGTGACGGTCACGTATAATGTGAATTGACCTTTAAGCACTCAGGATGGATGGGTGACCGACATACCGCTTCGGATTCGAAATTATCGAGGGAGGATTCGCGAAAGTTTTAGAGTATGTTTGACAATCTTCGGTTTCTAGCAGTTATAAGACATGAAAAAATTAGGAATTAATTTTTTATTATGAAACAATAAGAATAAATAAGACGTTGAAATGTCAAGGAAAAATCAACAATCGCGGACATTTTTATATTATATCAAGGTTTGTGCAACGTTGATTCAATGTTGCTGCAATATTGACATTGTTGCAATTCAACATTTTTTCAACATTGATTTAACATTACTATGCTATATGGGTACTGTATCTTCCTTCGGGATTTATGGCATAAGAATAGAGCGTTCATCATCGACTAAAGACTTCAAATTGCAAAATGCTTCTTGAACTATCTCGTATCATGCTTTTTACGAATGTCATAATATGTCTATGAATTTTGTCTACTTTCCGTAACTGAGAAAAAGCATTTAATTTTTGAGTGTGATATATTTGCATTCTATTGTGTATATTTCATTTTTCAGCACGAAAACGTGCAAGAACTTTGCATCATCTCTCAGTATCGTATATAACGTCATGCTGCAGACCATTTGCGTCAGAAAAATCTGCAGATACCTTAGCACACAATAACCGATAAGAACGTTGCGCGTGAACGTTCGTGCTTTTCTGTAAGTGTGTGCAACAAAGGATATTCCCTCACGAATCAATCCTGACAAGAATTGCAAACAACATTCGTCATGGAATACTGGACGATACTGCTCTCCGTCGTAATAGCTACCTTCGGTATCAGTTACCTTTTTAGAAGTTTCAATTACTTCAAAAGGAACGGAATTTTTCATATTCCACCTCTACCCATATTTGGTGATATGATGTGGATTGTATTTCGTCAGATATCATTTGGGGATTACCTTCAAAAGCTGTACCAGTTTAAACCGGACGCCAAATATTATGGATTTTACGCAACGTCGCGTCCTATCATCTTGTTGCGCGACCCGGAACTTATCAAGGAGGTCTTCATTAAGAATTTTGATTCGTTTCCTAATCGCCGTGGTTTCGGCGAATTAAATGAAACATTATTTTCAAATAATTTGTTCTCCCTTCGGAATCAAAAATGGCGAGATGTGAGGACATTATTGAGCCCAGCCTTTACGTCCAGCAAGATGAAAACGATGTTCAGCTTGATGACGGAGTGTGCAGAGGACTTCACCAAGTCTCTCTCGGAAATGTCAGCAGATAAGGGGGAAATTGATATGAAGGACGTGTTCACCAGATACACAACCGATGTCATCGCATCGTGTGCTTTCGGAATTAAGGTCAATTCTATGAATGATCCTACGAACAACTTTTACACTTATGGTAAAGAAGCGATTAGCTTCATCGGGAATCGTATTTTCAAGTTTCTTTTCGTCAGAGCTTTCCCTACACTCGCGCGATTTCTCCGTCTAAAGTTTTTAAGCGAAGACGCCAGCAACTTTTTCACGGACATTGTAAAGACCACAATCACCACTCGTGATGCCACGAACTTTACACGTCCGGATATGATACAGTTGATGATGGACATGAGAGGTAAACGTGAGAATGAGAGAGAGTTGAGTATCGACGACATGGTTGCACAGGCATTTGTTTTCTTTGTCGGTGGCTTTGAAACCAGTTCAACCGCGATGTCATTCATAGCTTATCAGGTCGCAGCTAATCCAGACATCCAGGCCAAGTTGCAACAAGAGATCGACGAAGTGTTGGGGAACTCTCACGGAGAAGTGACCTATGAAACCATTAATCGGCTTAAATATTTGGACATGGTAATAAGCGAAGTTCTCAGATTGTATCCGCCCGTCATGCTTCTTGAAAGACAATGCGAAAGAGATTATGTATTCCCACCCACATTGCCGAGTGAAAAATCCTTCACCTTGAAGAAAGGTCAGGCAATCTGGGTCTCGGTCTACGCGATTCACCGTGACGAAAAATACTACAATGAACCAGAGAAATTTTGTCCGGAAAGATTTTCAGACAAGAACTCATTCTACAATTCGCCGTGTTATTTACCATTTGGATTAGGACCGCGTATGTGCATAGCGAACAGGTTTGCATTGCTGGAGGTCAAAGTCTTGTTATTTCACCTATTAGCGCAGTGCGAATTAAAACCTTGTTCGAAAACCACGTTGCCGATGAAATTGAGCAAGAAGGGTCTGACCATGATGGCGGAAGGTGGAATCTGGTTGAATATTCAGCGTAGAAATGATATTCATCCTAAAACTGAATTATCAATACATAAGCACGATTAATCCGTGAAGACATTTTAAGTGCGGTGAATGTGAATTAGATTAAGTGTAGCTTGTATATTGTTACGAGATAAAAGTAGATTGAAACAGTTTATAATATCTGAAAAAAGTTATAGAGTTTATTTTGCTAAGGAATATATTTTTGAAATAGTAGATTTCAATTTTTTTAATATAAATACGAAACAAGAGGATAGTAAATTAATATAAAACGTTAATATGTTTTTTAATTACAAAATTCCAACTAAATCTGAGCTAGAAATGTTATAACATCGAATACTACTATTAAATAGATTGAAATAAGATCGGAGGCGCGCAGATTGCTTACTGACTCACTCTTTATCTTATGTAACGTTATTCCGTAAACAACTTATGTTGGGATGATTAGTAGATATAATGATGCACAACAGCGGATACCAACAGTTGCACGCAAACAGTTTAGCCTGTTATATCGCAAGTGTGTTAAATAAAATTCATCTATCTCGTATTTATTTACGGATTGATTCTGATAAAAATCTTAAACATCCGATATGGAGTACTGGATGATATTGCTATCCATCGTAACAGGTCTTTTTGCTATACACTATCTTTTTAGAAGATTCAATTACTTTAAAAAAAACGGTATTATCCACGTTTCACCTGTATTGGTAATTGGTGGCATGGCTTCGGTTATATTTCGCTGGATATCTTTCGGAAATTATCTCCAACAGCTCTATTACTACCAGCCGTACGCGAAATATTTTGGATTCTACGCCACGTCGCGACCTGTCATTTTGTTACGTGACCCGGAGCTTATCAAGGAAGTCTTTATCAAGAATTTCGATTCGTTTCCTAATCGTCGTGGTTTTCGCGAGTTCGGTGACGTCTTATTTTCAAAAAGTTTGTTCTCTCTTCGCGGACAAAAATGGCGAGACGTGAGAACTTTATTGAGTCCAGCCTTTACATCCAGCAAGATGAAAACCATGTACACCTTGATGACAGAATGCGCTGTGGATTTTGTCAAGACTTTATCGAAAATATCAGCAGATAAAAGCGACATGGATATGAAGGAAGTATTCTCCAAGTACACGAACGATGTTATTGCCACATGTGCCTTTGGAATCAAGGTCAATTCAATGAGCGATCCCTTCAACAACTTCTACTTTTATGGCAAAGAAGCGACTAGTTTCATCGGAACCCGTGTCTTCAAGTTTTTTTTTGTTAGAACATTCCCGAAACTTTCAAAATTTCTTCGTCTAAAATTTCTAAGCGACAATGCCACCAACTTTTTCAAAGACATTATACAAACCACGATTGCTACTCGCGATGCTAAAAACATTACGCGTCCGGATATGATACAGTTGATGATGGACATGAGGGGTAAACGTGAAAACGAGAGAGAACTGAGTATCGATGACATGGTTGCACAGGCGTTTGTTTTCTTTCTTGGAGGTTTCGAAACCAGTTCAACCGCGATGTCCTTTATTGCCCATGAAGTTGCAGCTAATCCGGATGTTCAAGCGAAGTTATGGCAAGAGATCGACGAAGTTTTGGAAAACTCAGACGGTGAAGTGACTTACGAAACAATCAATGGGCTTAAATATTTGGATGCGGTAATAAGCGAAGTTCTCAGATTATATCCGCCGGCTGTATTTATTGAAAGACAATGTGAGAGATCTTATGAATTGCCGCCCGCATTGCCAACTGAGAAATCCATCATCCTGAAGAAAGGTCAGTTAATCTGGGTCCCGATCTACGCGATTCACCGTGATGAAAAGTACTATGATGAACCGGAAAAGTTTTGTCCGGAAAGATTCTTCGATAAGAACTCATATTATAATTCTCCGTGTTACGCTCCGTTTGGATTAGGGCCGCGGATGTGTATAGCGAATAGGTTCGCGTTGCTCGAGATCAAAGTCTTAATGTTTCACCTGTTATCGCAGTGCGAGCTGAAACCTTGTGCGAAAACTACTTTACCGATGAAATTAAGCAAGAAAGGTTTGGCTATGATGCCGGAAGGTGGATTCTGGCTGAAAGTTCAGCGTAGAGAAACAATATGTAATTTAAGATTTAAGCAGTAATACAGCGTCATGTTTAATTCTTGAAGACGTTTTGAGCGCACTGAATGTGAATTAAATTGAATGTAGTCAATTGTATAATGTTTTATAGTATACGGAATATGAAAGTAAAATGAAGCAACTGTAATCAATATGTGAAAAAACTTTATCTTGAATAGAGTTTATCTTGCCATAAGAGAAAAAAGTTTATCTGAGTAGAGTTTATCTTGCCATAAAATATAATATTTTTTAAATTTTACACAGTTCTTGAAGTATAAATATGAAACAAGAGGACAATTAACATTAAAGTAAAATGTTGATATATTTCTTAATTACAAAATTCTGACCTGAGCTAATTTATAAAATGTATAACATGGAATGCCCGCGCTGTATTATGTAGCTGATATGTAGCATATTGCTCACCGGTTTGTCTTTTATCTTACGTCATTTAACGCCATTTTGCCTCCCACTTACGCCACGTACGCCAATTAGTACATACGATGACATTCAGTAGCCGATGTTTTCAGTTGTGCGTAAGCATTCTTGCTCGTTATATCGCAGATACGTGAAACAAGATTCATTTATCTCACGTTTAATCACGAATTGATTCTGATAAGGATCCCAATATTCGCAATGGAATTCTGGACGATACTGCTATCCACCGTGATAGGTCTACTTGGTATACACTATCTTTTTAGAAAATTCAATTACTTCAATAGAAACGGTATTATCCATGTTCCATCTGTATTAATACTTGGTGACATGGCTGCGATTATATTTCGCCGGATATCATTCGCAAATTTTCTCCAAAAGCTCTATTACTACAAACCGAACGCGAAATATTTTGGATTCGGTACATTGCAACCTGTAATTTTATTGCGCGACCCGGAGCTTATCAAGGAAATCTTCATCAAGAATTTCGATTCGTTTCCTAATCGCCAAAGTTTAAGCGAATTTAATGACATCTTATTTTCAAAAAATTTGTCCGCCCTTCGCGGACAAAAATGGCGAGATGTAAGGGCTTTATTGAGTCCGGCCTTTACATCCAGCAAGATGAAAACCATGTACACTTTGATGACAGAATGCGCTGTGAATTTTGTCAAGACTCTATCGTACATATCAGCAAAGAAGAGCGACATGGATATGAAGAACATATTCTCCAAGTATACAAATGATGTCATTGCTACATGTGCCTTTGGAATTAAAGTGGATTCAATGAACGATCCCAACAACAATTTCCACCACTATGGCAAAGAAGCGACTAATTTCATCAGGGGCCGTGCATTCAAGTTTATGTTCGTTAGAACATTCCCGAAACTCTCGAATCTTCTACGTCTAAGGTTTCTAAGCAACGATGCTACCAACTTTTTCAGAGACGTTATACAAACCACGATTGCTACTCGTGATGCTAAAAACATTACGCGTCCGGATATGATACAGTTGATGATGGACATGAGGGGTAAACATGAAAACGAGAGAGAATTGAGTATCGATGATATGGTTGCACAGGCGTTTGTTTTCTTTCTTGGAGGTTTCGAAACTAGTTCAATCGCGATGTCCTTTATTGCCCATGAAGTTGCAGCTAATCCGGATGTTCAAGCGAAGTTATGGCAAGAGATCGACGAAGTTTTGGAAAACTCAAACGGTGAAGTGACTTACGAAACAATCAATGGGCTTAAATATTTGGATGCGGTAATAAGCGAAGTTCTCAGATTATATCCGCCGGCTGTATTTATTGAAAGACAATGTGAGAGACCTTATGAATTGCCGCCCGCATTGCCAACTGAGAAATCCATCATCCTGAAGAAAGGTCAATTAATCTGGGTCCCGATCTACGCGATTCACCGTGATGAAAAGTACTATGATGAACCGGAAAAGTTTTGTCCGGAAAGATTTTTCGATAAGAACTCATATTATAATTCTCCGTGTTACGCTCCGTTTGGATTAGGGCCGCGGATGTGTATAGCGAATAGGTTCGCGTTGCTCGAGATCAAAGTCTTAATGTTTCACCTGTTATCGCAGTGCGAGCTGAAACCTTGTGCGAAAACTACTTTACCGATGAAATTAAGCAAGAAAGGTTTGGCTATGATGCCGGAAGGTGGATTCTGGCTGAAAGTACAGCGTAGAAATAATATGTAATCTAAGATTTAAGCTTAGTAGTGCAGCGTCATGATTAATTCGTGAAGATGTTTTGAGCGCATTTAATTCACTGAATGTGAATTAAATTGAATGTAGCCTATTTTATAATGTTTTATATTGTATGGAATATATAAAAGTAAAATGAAACAATTTGTAATCAGTATCTGAAAAAAAGCTGTAGATTTTTTCTTGCTATAAAGAATATAATATTTTTTAAATTCTAAACATTAGTTGATGAAATATAAATATGAAACAAGGGGACAATAAATTAAGGTAAAATGTTGATATATGTCTTAATTATAAAATTCTAACCTGATCTAACTTATAAAATTTATAACATGAAGTGCCTGCACTATATTATCCTGCTGGTACGTAGAGTATACCTGTATTACTTACATGTTTGTGTTTTATCTTACGTCATTTAACGCCATTTTGCAAACCGGTTACGCCAGTAAGATTAGATATATGATGAAATTCAAGAGTTGATATCTGCAGTTGCGCGCAAATATTCTTGCTCGTTACATCGCAGATACGTGAAACAAGATATCTCACGAATCGATTCTGACAAATATTTTAAACCGCCCACCATGGAATACTGGACGATACTGCTATCCATCGTGACAGGCCTTTACGTTATCCACCATCTTTTTAGAAGATTCAATTACTTCAAAAGGAACGGTATTATCCATGTTTCACCTGTACTGGTAATTGGTGGTATGGCTTCGGTCCTATTTCGCCGGATATCACTCGCAGATTATCTCCATAAGCTCTACTACTACAAACCGAATGCAAAATATTTTGGATTCTACGCCACGTCGCGACCTGTCATTTTATTACGTGACTCGGAGCTTATCAAGGAAATCTTTATCAAGAATTTTGATTCGTTTCCTAATCGCCGTGGTTTGGGCGAATTCAATGACATCTTATTTTCAAAAAATTTGTTCTCTCTTCGCGGACAAAAATGGCGAGACGTGAGGACTTTATTGAGTCCAGCCTTTACATCCAGCAAGATGAAAACTATGTACAACTTGATGACAGAATGCGCTGTGGACTTTGTCAAGGCTCTATCGTATATATCAGCAGATAAGAGCGACATGGATATGAAAGACGTATTTTCCAAGTATACGAACGATGTCATCGCCACATGTGCTTTTGGAATTAAAGTCGATTCCATGAACGATTCCATCAACAATTTCTACCTTCATGGCAAAGAAGCTACTAGTTTCCTTGGGACCCGCGCCTTAAAGTTTTTTTTCGTTAGAACATTCCCGACACTCTCGAATCTTCTCCGTCTAAGGTTTCTAAGCGAGAATACTACCAACTTTTTCAAAGACATTATACAAACCACGATCGCTACTCGCGATGCTAAAAACATTACGCGTCCGGACATGATACAGTTGATGATGGACATCAGGGGTAAACGTGAAAACGAGAGAGAATTGAGTATCGATGACATGGTTGCACAGGCGTTTGTTTTCTTTCTCGGAGGTTTCGAAACCACTTCAACCGCGATGTCCTTTATAGCTCATGAGCTTGCAGCTAATCCGGATATCCAAGCGAAGTTACAACATGAGATCGACGAAGTTTTGGAAAACTCAGACGGTGAAGTGACTTACGAAACAATCAATGGGCTTAAATATTTGGATGCGGTAATAAGCGAAGTTCTCAGATTATATCCGCCGGCTGTATTTATTGAAAGACAATGTGACAGACCTTATGAATTGCCGCCCGCATTGCCAAGTGAGAAATCCATCATCCTGAAGAAAGATCAGTTAATCTGGGTCCCGATCTATGCGATTCACCGTGATGAAAAGTACTACGATGAACCGGAAAAGTTTCGTCCGGAAAGATTCTTCGATAAGAACTCATATTATAATTCTCCGTGTTACGCTCCGTTTGGCTTAGGACCGCGGATGTGTATAGCGAATAGGTTCGCGTTGCTTGAGATCAAAGTCTTAATGTTTCATCTGTTATCGCAGTGCGATTTGAAACCTTGTGCGAAAACTACCTTGCCCGTAAAATTAAGCAAGAAAGGTTTGGCTTTGATGCCGGAAAATGGGTTCTGGCTGAAAGTACAGCGTAGAAACAATATATAATCTAAGATTTAAGCTTAGTAATACAGCGTCTTAATTAATTCGTGAAGACGTATTAAGCGCACTGAATGTGAATTAAATTGAATGCAACCTGTTGTGTAATGTTTTATGATGTACGGAATAAAAAGTAATATGAAACAGTCTGTAATCAATATCTGAAAAAGCTGTAAAGTTTATTTTACTATAGAAAATATAATATTTTTTAAATTCTAAACTTTAGTTGGTGAAATATAAATATTAAGCAAGAGAACAATAAATTAAGGTAAAATATTAATATATTTCTTAATTGCAATATTCTAATCCATAAAATCTAACCTATAAAATTTATAACATAGAATGTTTGCACTGCATTGTACTGTTGGTACGCAGGATATTGTTCTTATATATATTTTATCTGACGTCCTTTATAACGCCATTTTGTAAACTACTTACGCCAATGAATTTAGTACAAATTATGGCATATAATAGCCGATATCTGCAGTTGCACGCAAATATTCATGTTTGTTATCGAAAAATATGTAAAATAAAATTTACTTATCTCACGTTTACTCACTAATCAATTCTGTCAAGGATCCTAACTAACATAAATATGAAGGACATATGCACGTACACGAATGATGTCATTGCCACATGTACCTTTAGAGTTAAGGTCGACTCAATGAGCGATCTCACCAACAACTTCTACCTTTATGACATAGAAGCGACTAGTTTTATTAGGACCTGTGCCTTCAAGGTTTTCTTCGCTGGAACATTTCCGAAACTCTCCAAACTTTTTTATTTAAAATTTTTGAGCGATAACGTCACCAACTTTTTCAAAGACATTATATAGGCCATGATTCTGGACATATGGGGTAAACAAGAAAACGTGAAAAAAATATATTTCGATGACATCAGTTGGATACCTTCCTTTTTCCCTCGGAGAATTCGAAACCAGTCCATATAAATGCGTCCAATCGCGATGTCCATATAAATGCAGTTGAATTCCAGCCCAGTTAAATTGCAGTCAATGCGGACGTGCAAGCCAGTGTGATAAGTGGTCGAGAAAGTAACTGGAACTGTGGTGTGTCTTACGAAGCAATTAATCGGCTTAAATATTTGTACGCGGTAATAAACGAAGTTTTCAAATTGTATTCACCAGCTGTATTTATTGAAAGACAATGTAAGAGACCTTATAAATTTTCGCCCGCATTGCCAAGTGAGGAATTCGTCATTTTGAAGAATGGTCATTCTGAAGAAAGGTCATCCTGAAGAAAAGTCAGTTAATCTGAGTCTGGATTTACGCGATTCAGCGTGATGAAAAATGCTACGATGAACCAGAAAAGTAAGGGAAAATTCTTAGACAATTACGCGTATCATAACTCTATATTATGCTCTGTTCAGATTAGAAATGGGAATGTGCAGCCAATAGATTTGCATTATTGGAAATAAAAATCTTAATGTTTCATCTGTTATCACAACGCGAATTGAAATCTTGTGCGAAAATTACCTTACCGATGAAATTGAACAAGAAAAGTTTGGGTTTGATAGCGGACGGTGGGTTTTGGCTGATTGTTCAGCGTATAAACAAGGTGCCCAATTCAAGGTTAGGTTAGTAATATGGCGGCACGTTCAATATATAAAGACATTTCATCAACGCTGAATGTGAGTTAGATTAAATGTAGTTTGTTTTATATTGTTACGAAATAAAAATAATCTAAAAGAGCTTGTAATAAATATTTAAAAAAAGGCTATAAATATATCTTGCTAAGATATATATATATATCATATTTTTTAAATACTTAAATATTTAAATATTTTTTAAACTTTAGTTCTTAAGTATAAATTTAAAACGGGAGGACAATAAATTAAGATAAAATTGTTGATATGTCTAATAACTATGAGAAATTTACATTAAATTTTATATATAAAATAAATTTTATAACATCGAAAGCTTGCATTGTATTAGATTACAGGCGCACAGAGAATTGCCCACCTTTCTAATCTTATGTAAGGTTACTGCCCAAATCATACCAGTCAGTATTGGTATATATAACGAGGTGTAATAGCCGATACCACAGTAGCGCTCAGCCATTCTTACACGTTACATCGTACAAACAAATGTGAAACAAGATCCACACATCTCATAGTTCTGACAAGCGTTCCAGACAATACTCGCCATGGAATATTGGACGATACTGCTATCCATCGTGACAGGCCTTTACGTTATCCACCATCTTTTTAGAAGATTCAGTTATTTCAAAAGGAACGGCATTATCCATATTCCACCTATAATGGTATTTGGTAGTATGGCTTCGGTTCTATTTCGGCAAATATCACTCGGGAATTATATCCAAAACCTGTACTATTACATACCAAACGCGAAGTATTTTGGATTCTACGCCACATCGCAACCTATCGTCTTGCTGCGCGACCCGGAGCTCATTAAGGAAATCTTTATCAAGAACTTCGAGACGTTCCCTAATCGCCGTGGTTTCAGCGAATTAAATGAGAATTTATTTTCAAATAGTTTATTCTCCTTACGGGATCAAAAATGGAGAGACATGAGGAATTTACTGAGCCCAGCTTTTACACCCAGCAAGATGAAAACCATGTACACCATGATAACAGAGTATGCTGTGAACTTCACCAAGACTCTATCGAAAATATCAGCAGATGAGAGCGACATGGATATAAGAGACATATGCTGCAAGTACGCGAACGATGTCTTTGTTGCGTGTACTTTTGGGATTACGATCGATTCATTGAACGATCCCACCAACATCTTTTACCTTCATTGCAAAGAAGCATCCAGACTCTTTGGGAACTTTTCCTTCAAGTTATCTTTCTTTAAAGCGTTTCCGAATCTCTGCAAATTCCTTCGTTTAAGATTCCTAAGTGATGACACCGTCAACTTTTTCACGGACGTCGTAAAGACCATAATCACCACTCGCCACGTCGCGAACTTTACACGCCCGGACATAATACAGTTGATGATGGACATCAACGGTAAATGTGAAAACGACGGAGAAATGAGCATCGACGACATGGCTGCGCAAGCATTTATTTTCTTCCTCGCCACCACCGAAAGCAGTTCAACTGCTATGTCCTTCATAGCCTTTGAGATTGCAGCTAATCCGAACGTCCAAGCGAAGTTGCGGGAAGAAATCGATGAAGCATTGAAAAACTCGAACGGGGAAGTGTCTTACGAAGTAATTAATCGTCTTGAATATTTGAATGCGGTAATATGGGAAGTTCTCAGGTTGCATCCGCCGACTATGATTATTGAAAGAATATGTGAGAAAGCTTACGAATTTCCGCCTGCATTGCCAAATGAAAAATCTTTCATTCTGAAAAAAGGTCAGATAATCTGGGTCCCGATATACGCGATTCATCTTGATGAAAAACATTACGGTGAACCGAAAAAATTTTGTCCGGAAAGATTCTTAGGCGATAACGCATATTATAATTGTCCGCATTACGCTCCGTTTGGACTAGGACCGCGAATGTGCATAGCCAATAGATTTGCATTGTTGAAAATGAAAATCTTCGTGTTTCATCTATTAGCGCGGTGTGAGCTGAAATCTTGTGCGAGAACTACCTTCCCGGTAAAATTAAGCACGAAAGCTCTGCGTATGATACCAGAAGATGGATTCTGGCTAAATGTTCAGCGTAGAAACGATATACAATAAAAAATTATGTTAACAATGCGTAATAACGGTACGATTAATTCGTAAGGACAATTCGTTAAATACGTTATATGTGAATTTAATTAAGCGCGCTCTAAATTTTATACTGTGACAAGCGTTTGCATCAATATTGTTGCGCTTTCCCAGAAAAAAAATCAAATAAAAGCCATATATGGATTTTGTCAAGATCCAGTTATCCTTATATCTGATTATATCTAAGCATATATGGGAAGCGTAATAATCAGATCTCTCTTGAACTGAAAATATAGATTAACATATGTATTAACATTAGTATGGTATTATAAAATAATATGAAAAAATATAAAAAAATACGCGTATATATACAACTTAATATTAGGATATAATGTAGTCTAATATAATGTAATCTTAAGTCGAATATAGTATAATCTTATAGACTATAAATATTATAAACATTATAAGTAGTCTTATAAGTTCGTTCAAATATATATATATATATATATATATATATATATATATATATATATATATATATATATATAATCTTATTCTATAAATGACACACGCGAATAATATCCCATAGTATATTTTATACTCTATATTATATTTTATATTTTATATTATATTCAATAATCGCAAAACAAATAGGGAAATTGTCAAAGGTACCATAATGTTTGACTATATTGAGAAATTGTAACATAGTTATAATTACAATTACTAGAACATAATATAGGTTTGTTGTATATAGGATTATAAATTTGATAAACAATTATTACGCGAAAACATGAACGTTTGTTTTCTTACATCTACATTTCGTATAAATTCCGTATTCTCAGCGGGTCTTATGATAAAAGTTATATCATGTGGCTCTTCAGATATCTGTCTAGACGCCTATCTAAACGTCTATCTAGACGCCGTGAGTATTCACGTTAGTATTGAAATAATTATGAAAATATCGTGAACAACTTTGCTTGGATATCCAACGTAGCTTGAAGATATTGAGACACTTGCAAATTAATGAGAATTTCATAATAAAATATGTGATAATCAAGTCAGTAATCGCATATACTATATACAGCCAATTAATAATTTTTTATATAAAGTTTCTACACAATGGTCGCGTCATTATATCACGCATATCGAGCATGCGATAAATTATCTCTCTGTAGATTAAAAAAAATCGCCTGATATGCTCTCGCATCTAAAGGCAAAAAGCACGTCGACGATGCATAGGCGCACTTGATCGATCAACGCGCGAAACCGCATGTTCTCACAATTCGATAAAGGAAAAACAAGCGGCCTAGTCTCTAGTCGACAGCAATCCTGATCAAAGTTCGCTAATGGCTAACTCCTTCGCTTCGTTACAGAGTTCACTTAAGGCTGGTTTATGATGACCGTATTCCGTTAATTTATGCAATCGTAAAAAATTGACCAATCACAGTCGATTATTTTTCTATAATTCGACTATGATTAATCAATATTTTACGATTTTGACATAAGTTAACGGATTACGGCCATCATAAACCAGCCTTTAAGGGTCTGCAGGAGTCATAATAGAGATATTTGGTAAAGAGCCACGAATTAGGCAAATATAGAAAAGAAATTTTAGCCAAAATACAGAAAAAATCGCTTGCGCAATATCTAATTAGGAGAAACGTCCACAAGTCTGTACAGAGCGATTTTTGAGAAAAAAGTTTGAAATAAAAATCGAATAAATTATTTGAGTGAACATTCGACGCGGGTACAGTATTAAGTCCACATTTTAATATATATTATATAATTGTATGTGTCGGGTTATGTCGATATATTACGATATCGAGCGATCTCGATAATAATGTAAGGAACAAGTAAAAAATGATTTTCGTGGCAAATATTGCGCGCCTTCGAAGTAGAATATCTAATCTAGAACATGCTTACTTAAGTGATATGCTACAAGAACATATGCGCAACTATTATATTTGAATAAAATTTTATGTACAACTATTTGCAAAATGTGGCTGTGTAGCGACCTCGATAATAATGTAAGGAACTAGTAAATAATGGTCTTCGGATGCAATCATTGTATCTCCGAAGCAAGACATCTTTATTTTGTATAAATTTATATTAAAAATTTTTGCCTATATAAATTGTGTGCATTGATTCGCTTACTACTCACGTTTTATCGCTTACATTTCTTGTGTGTCATGGCGCTAAGGCTCCCGATCAATCAGCATAGACATCCCAGACAGCATAAATGTCCAAAATCGAGTCATAAGATGTCGATTTTGGACATTGTGCTGTCTGGGATAATATATTTAGATCGAGCATTTGCCTCTATTTGAAGGAACAAAAACCTGGGACTAAAAACCACATATCTTCTGCATTTTTTGTTATTCGTTAGTCTTTCATAGCTATTTCTGAAAAATTGTTATTTTAATTGATTTATATATTAGCGATTACAATACAATAAAGTTATGAATAATTTATTTTATTCTCATTTATGTTATGAATAATTTATTTTATTCTCAATAAAATATAAATATATCAATTTAATTAATAAATATTTAAGGAAAACAGGTGTGAAACAGGTGAGGAATGAAACAGGTGTTAATTATAAGAGAAATAATAAGATGAGAATAATAAGTACGTATTTATTTTTCTATTTTTATTTTATACACTTAACATACACACCAAAACCTTTCCTCTTCTACAAAGTCTTGATCTGATCCGATCAATGCAAAGACAATAACATAAATCGGATTAGTCTAGGGAGTTTTGCAAAGTGACTTGATTGAGTACCATTGTTCGGTCCGATTGGAGACCCGATTACTTGTCGTAAACACCCTTATTATAGGGTCTCTAGCACACGTATGGGGTTTAACTAAATGTTTTAAATTTGTAATGACTTTTTAGCATCCATATTGATTATTATAATACAAAGTAATACAAAGACTTTTATTTTATTTTCGTCATCAGAAAAGTACTAAAAAATCAGTTTTTACATAAGACTATTTCCAGATATCATGCATGTCTAAAAGATGTCGAAAAGTTATCTAAAAGAAGAATAAAATAAAGAAGAATTCTTACTTTCATACAAAGGTAACATAGATTTTTGTGATAGCAGTTGAACATGATTTATGTACGGAAGAATAGCATAATGCAAAATGTAAATTTAATTGATTAAAAGAATAAT